GCCGCGCCAGACGCCCCCGCCTCCCCTCGACGCCGGCCCTCGCCCGCCCCCAACCCGCAGGTATGCTTCTGTTCTTCCTTTTTTTCCATTTTGATTCATTGTTGTCACTCACAATTTATTCTTTGTTGTATTGTGTAGATGAAGGTGAACAACAACGACATGGACTCGTTGTTCGATTCATTGGGTTGGTCGTCATCCGACGATTCGGACATCGACGAGTTGTTGCAAGACGACGACGTCGAGATGATGAGCCTCCTCATCGACGTGCAATCCTTTGAAAACCGCGTGAGGCTGATGGATCAGAGGAGAGGGTCGAAGATGGGGCGAGTCACCATCTACCGGGATGATCTAATAGAGCACCACTGGCAGTTGGATGGGCGGCGCATTGGCCCATGATGTATCTTTGTTTTACTTTTCTATGTCCTATTTGATTCGAACAATTCGTGTAGTTTGGTCAAACATTGTTGTAATAATTTGAATGATTATTGTTTTATTCGGTGTTGTAATAATAACTAGAATGATTATTGTTTTATGTCAAATGTGATGGAATTTGTGATATGTCATATGATGAAATGTGATGAAATGTGTGATATATGAAATGACAGTTTTAAAGGTTGGGATTGAGGCAAAGACTAGAACCTTCAAATCCAACCCTTAAAGTAGTTTACGGGTTGGGTTTGAGGGTTTTAGTCTTTGCCCCTGTTTTTCAACCCTTAAAAGTGTCAAAAACTGGCACTTCTCAACCCTTAAAACTGCTATAAGGGTTGAGGGTTTGAGGGTTCTACTAGTAATGCTCTTAGGAGTAGCGTCGCCCCTGGCCCCTCGCTACTTCTAGCCAGCCTTATCCTCCCGCGGATCGTCCACCTTACTCTCCCTATGCTCACTCCCTGTCGTCCTTGTTCTTCCTCCCGCTGTCGCCGCACGTCGCCGTCCCCAGCCTCGGTAAGGCGTACTCCTCCTCCCCCATCCCTCCTCCTCCGTCCTCCTCATCCCTCTTCCGTCCTCCTCCTCCCTCCTAGTCCATCCTCCTCCCTCCTCCAGTCGCCGGCCCTCCTCCCTCCTCCCTCATTTAACTAAATTAGTTTATAGTTTGTAGTTTGTAGTTTACTGAACTAGTTAATTTTTTTGTGACAACGTATATTGATGTTGTGTCAATGCACTAATTTTCTTCTGGATTTTTCGAACATTTTTTAATGTGCAGCGGCCGACCGGTGCACCAGATACATCCCCGCTGCACATGAGCTCTGGCCGAGAGCTGCAGCGTGCTCCATTGCAACACCAGCGGTGCTCCGGTGGTCTAGTGATGCTGCATTTTAGCTAGGGCCTAATTGCAGCACCAACTACGCTTCCGGCGTTCCCGGTGATGCTCCGTTGCAGCACCGCTTGCGTTGCATGGAAGCAACCCGCCGCCGCCGAGATTCTGGTCGCAACAGCAAGCCCGCTGCATTGAAGCTCTGCCAGCCACAAGATCCGCAGGTTGTAGCGTTGCGCATGTTGCATGGACGTAACCCGCCACCGGCAAGATCCACGCTTGAAAGCGGTTGGCACCCGTTGGATGTTGCTTTGGTGGTGTTCTTGCATCTAGAGAGGAAAGAAGCAGGGTGGAAGAGAGACAAAGGTGCTTGCGGCGGCGGCGGCATGCTTGAAGCAGCTGTTGGCTGCCTGCAGCAGAGCATGGCAAGTCGCATCCGGCGGAGGGAGAGGAAGAGAGAGGGAGATGGAGGGAGGGAGGGAGGGAGAGGGGAGAGAAAGAGAGAGAGCCCCCACATGGGAGGGAGCGGCTTACAGTGCGGAAAGATCAACCGCTTAATTTAAGTGTTTTCCTTTTTCTAATCTAACTTTTAAACCATTAGTATGGGGATATATTCGTTTTGAAAGGAAGGAGAATGGACTAATCGCTGCCGTCCATACGCACACGAACGGCCGTCGATTGATTCTGTTAACCTCTCATGATCCGGACCACGCACGCACACGCCACCAACCTCTGAAGAGACCCATCCCCTCTCCCATCTGCCCTCTCGGCTCCCTCGGCTCCGGCGACCGCGACCTCGACCTCGACCGGCGACCGGCGACCGGCGGCGGGCGTCCCTCCCAGGTGATAGATGAGATCCATCTCCCTCCCGCCTTCTGCGTTTAGATCTGTTCGCGTCCTCGGGTTGGTAGCTGGTAGTTTGGTAGCCGGATCGAGATTGATTCCACGCCGCCCGCGATTCTCGCCAGCGACGCTCCTTCATCCCGGAGCCCAGCGAAAGTAGGAGCAGCCCTAGATAGCGTTGTTCACGTTGTTCGGATCCATGGATTCCTCGCCGCCCGCCCCGCGCGCTCGCGACGCTCCTTCGTCCCCGAGCCCAGCAAAACCAGGGCTCGTGTCCCTGTTGGTTTGGAGCAGGAACAGAGCAGCAGCTGTTTGGGCTGGCCAAGTTTGTGTTACAGTGTAGTACTATGGCTAAAACCAGGTTAACTATTCAGAGATTGATGTGCTTGATGTGTACAGTATCCATTCATGGGGATTGCATCTTTCTCGGGTTGCTGCACGCCATGCTTGTTCTGCAGTATATATTAGATGAATTCAACTCGATCCCCCTCATGCCAAGCCGCCAATGATTTTGTATCAGGGTTGATGTCCAAATTTGCTCCCTGGCATATCATATTCTTGCCAAGTGTTGTTTGTTTTGTGCACGCCCTTCAGCTGCTTGTAAATGAATTTCTGATATCTTTTTTTAGGGTGGACTTGACTTACAGGTGTGCTTACCTGTTTTCTGCTTGTAGGTGTACAGGACAGTAATTAAGCAGGGTTGTGCAAAAGGACAGGAAAGTGCGCGTCCATTTGATTGAATGGCTTCAAAGATTCAAGCCTTCTTGAACCATCCCGCCGGCCCCAAAACTAGTTAGTGACAGTACTCACATTTGTTTTACACATCTCCTCTCTTTTTTGGTTCTCGCCTTTGATTATTTATTATTATTGTTGTTCACGGTAGCAACATTGACTAGGAGAAAAGTATAAAACAGTTTGCCAACGAGAAAATGTCTTTTACCAGTTTTAGGTTCTGAAGTGGTTGCTGTAAGAAGGTCAGCTTTGGCGTTGTTCCCCTGTTGCCTGTTGGTGGATTATACATGTTTTTTTCTGTGTCCTTTTAGCTTTGGACTGTGTTGTTGTGTTAGGATTGCCAGGTTGTTGGCATGTTTTAAATGTGAAAATGCTGTGTGCTTACTCTGTTTTTTGGTTTCAGTATATGAGACCAGGTAGCCATTGTTTGGGAAAAAAATAGTAACACGGAGAAAACATACCACCATGGAGAATCAGAATAGCAGTAAAGACATCATAAAATGGAACCTGGAACCATCAGAACCTAGAGCCATCAACTATTCAGTCTCCTCCTAGGCTCCTACAAACAGCTACTGTGCTCTACTCTGAAGTTGTCTTATGATCCATTTGATTCTGGTAGTTGCAGGATCCACTCTCTCCTCCCTTTCGAGGAGTAGCCACCTTTGCACTGCCATTCCTGCCGTGACTCTAAAACTTTGCAGTGTGTTAATTTGGTCAGCCAAGAGCATTTTCTAATATTTTCCTTATTATCCACAGTGGCCAGTGGACAACCTGCTGGCCAGATATCTTTAGCAAGTTTATGGTTGGGTTTACAAAATCCCTTGTATAATTTTGCTCCTCCACAAAGTGCAATAGTGAGAGGGGAACTTCCTGCCGTACCAGGGCATCTCTCATATAGGTCCAAACAAACATAGTTACAGGGGACTGAACAGTATATAAGTCTCAACCTCCAAAGAGACTACATCTTCTCCCTTTCAAGTTGTCTTGTGTGATCCATTTGATTCTGGATTTCTGGTAGTTGCAGGTTCCACTTTCTGCCCCCATTCGAGGAGTAGCCACCTTTGGACTGCTGTGACACTAAAACTTTACAATGTGTTAGTTGGGTCAACGAATAACATTTTTTATTATGTTCCTGATTATCTACAGTGACCAGGACACAGCCTGCTGGCCACGCATCTTTAGCAAGTTTGACATTTGGCCTTACAAAATCCTTTACCCTCCCCCCCCGGCCCCCGCGTCGCCCAGCGACTCGGGTGGCGAAACCCTAGCCGCCGCCCCAAGCCCCCCTCCTCCCCTCGCCGTCGCCGGAGGATGCTGGCGGGCGAAGCCCTCGCCGGTGGACGGCGGCGGCGGGGCCCTTGTTCGTGGGCTCGCGCACTGCTCTTTGGTGTGCTGGAGCGGCGGGAGCGCGCGGTGGCGAGGCAGGCGGTTGTCTGTGCTCAGGGGAGGTCATGATGATGTGGATCGCGCGCGCGGTGGCGCTGCTGAGGCGGCCGCCTGCCGCTGCTGCGAGCGGCAGAGATGAGGGCGCCCAGATCTGGGCCGTGCTGGCCCGCCCTGGCCTGCGATTCTCTTTCTGCCCCAACCCACCCGTCCCCCTCCTTCCACCCCTCCTGGCCGTCGCCGGTGGTAGCCGCTGGGTGGGTGTGCACACGCGCGGCGGTCCTTGATGGCTGCTGTTTGCTGTGCCCCGGCGGTTCCTGGCGGCAGATGCTGCGGGCCGGCGCGGCGGCGGCGCGGTGCAGGTGGCTGCTGTTGCCTGCTCGTCGCGCTCCCGGCGGTGGCCGGCCTGCTGGCGCTGCGCCGTTCGGTGCTCCTCCTGTGACGACAACGTTCCTAGGCATCCCTCCAGGTGTGCTGGTCTTCTCCGACGTTCTTCGCCAAGTCCGGTCTGCCATTGCATCTGAGGTCTTTGTTCATGGGTCGGGGCGAAATCCCCGCGGCGACGGCCTGCGCTGTCAACGGCGACGCCCGAGGGTGTCGTCACCTCCTTGGAGGCGTTGGCATGACCCTGACCAGATCTCCTCCTCGAGCACCAGGAGAAATCCCAGGTCCGGCCTCCCGGACCGGGCAGCGGCGGCGTCTCAGCGCCATTCCCCTCTTGAAGGCGCTGCTTTGGCTGCAAGTGGAGTTTCATGCGGCAGATGGAGGCTGGTGATGCATCGCTCTGGCGTAGACTGCTACACAGGGAGCAGATCGCAACGTATGCCAGCGCCCACGCTTCCCCAATGATTGTTTCACCCGTTCCTGTCAGGCCCTGCCCTTCGCCCGCCGACTCTCTAGGCACATGGGTGCGGGGTACGTTGGCCTGAGCAGTTCTGGAGCTGCAATCGTCCCTGGAGGCGTTTGGCAATGGCGATGACGCTGCCCTGCTGGGCGAGGCCTAATGTCGTTGCGTGTCTGTAGTTGAGGGCACCTCCTCACCTAGTTGTAGTCGCTTGGTGAGGACGGTCGTGTATGTGTGTGTGTGTGTGTCCCTCCTTTCTGGAGGTTGTACCCCCGATGTCTTCCTGTTCAATGAAATGAAACACAAAGTCTCTTGCGTTTTCTCGAAAATAAATAAATCCTTTACCCTTTGTTTGGGTGAGGAGGATTTGAAGGGGATTGGGAGAAATTGAGGGGGATTAAGTCCCCTCCAATCCTCTCCAATCCCCTTGGGAGGAGGATTAACCGAACAAGGCCTTACATAATTGCCCGCCTCCCCCCATGCACACACACACACACACACACACACACACAGAGAGAGAAAGTGCAATAGTGAGGAACTTATATAGGTTCAAACAAACCTAGTTGCAGGGCACCAAAGAGTTCCGTCTCTAGTTCACCATAGAGCTGAAATGTCCATTCCCCTTTGCCACCCATGTCTGCATTTTTTCCTGGTAAGCTTGGCAAAGGAAAATATTGACTTCCTTAAGGAAGATTAGAGTCCTTAAGATATGACATTTTGTAATGAAGTGATTTACTTGTAAACGCTGCAATATTTCCACGACCCAAAGAGACAACGTCTTTCTCCCTCGAAAAGTTATATATCTTCAGCCTTCGCCAACTCTGCGCTTATTCTTGACATTACAGAGCTGCATTTTTGGCTATAACCATCACTCAAAAAAGAGGCTGAGACAACAATCTGACCTTCCATGTAGTTCACCATAAATTCTAATGGCCTATCATGACAGTTTTTTGCACTAAATTGTGATGCATATCTATTAGATAAAATGTACAGTGCATATCACTTCAGAGGCTGAGACGATAATCCGACTTTGGTTGCAGTTCATTTTTGGGCTCCAACATTTAAATGGGGGATCAGCATTGCGAACATTGCCGACTTTGCTAAGCCTCCAGAAAAGATATCCTATCCTCAGCAAATCGGTATGTTCAACGAGTATTTCACGGCAGCATGCCAATTGTTTACCGTTTTTCTTATTGTTTTGTCCTGCTTACATGCTTATATTCTGTAATATGGGGTGCAGCTGTTGCCTGCACTGGAGTCGTCTGGTCACGCTACAGCATGGTTATCACACCGGTAAGCCATCGGTACTATTACTATCATTTTTCATTATTATGTGCACTGAATCTTGTAAGGTGACGTCAAATTTGGTAACGTGGATTATCTATATATCTAAACTGAGGTGTACATATTTTAAGCATTGTCATATCTCTTGCTGCTATGATATCGTTTTGCGTCGATCGTCTCATATTGTACTGTTTTAACGGCTCCCTGGACTGGGCTGTTGACGTTCAGTTGTTTGTTGAATGTTTGATTCATATTCCCAAGCCATCTCGTTCCACCTGCTGTCATGTGTTGTTTCCAGTTTAAACTGTTGCTCATCTCATTGCTTTGTGACGCTATCACCTTTTTTTTTCAGAAAAACTGGAACCTTTTCAGCGTTAACGTTGCGATGGCCGGCACAGGCCTGTACCAGCTTTCCCGTAAAATAAGGTCCGTTACGAAGCTGCTAATCTCCCGTATTATCACATTTGCTGTTCCTTGATGATGTCAAATGTAACAGGATGACATGTTTTGCGTTGGTTGGTCGACCACTAAACTTTTGTTTGCATCGCAGGCAAGACTACTTCTCTGATGATGGAAAGGAGGTGGCTGCTGCATCACTGGAAGGGTAGCGAGGACCGACTGGATTAATAATCGACTGCATAGCCTGCCTGCTGCCCCGGAACTCTGGGCCGCGGACCGGCTCAATTTCCGTGTCTTTCATTCTTTCCCATGTCGAAATTTCTTTGTCAGTCACGCCCTTGAACAAAGCAGAGTGGTATGAAAATTCCGCGCAGGTTAATAATCTTTGTGCATTTTGTGCAAAAAGGCGTACAGATTGAACGCATACACGCGGCCTTGCGTCGAAGAAAGTTATGCCGTCCTTTTTTGAGATAATTGACCTACCTGCTCCGCATTCTTGGTTGATACATTTCTGGCTGTTGCATATTTGGGCAGCTCGGAGTTGGTTACTGGCTTTGTGGTAGGTCTGCCACTGCTGTGGTACTTATATCAATCATTCGTTCGTCCATTCATATGATGGCACAGCCTTCTTCTTTACATATGATCGGAGTTGAGGCGTCTGTATCTAGCGCTCTCTTTCTGTGCATGGAAAGACTTGTGCGACCCCTTCCTCTCTGGATTGAATGTGGGCAACGAGTGCCCTATCGCTGCTGTGAGCAAGCTGGAGCAACAACTATGGGCGACAACTGTGAACCTTCTGCTTTGATGTGGCGCAAGATTTCAGACCTTTGAGCACGGATGAAATCCTGGCACAATTAAAAGTAAAATAGTCTATTTTAGCGGATGCGGCTGTTCTGATCCCTGAGCTCATGTGAGCTCGGATGAACAGTAAAATAAAATAAAATCTGATTTTTTTGGTGTGAAACATTGATAAATGTTTTGATAGCTTGCAAAATTTCGCCACCACATGACATTCGTGGAAAATGTGGTAAAAAATAAAAACCGATGCTACGTTTTGCATCTTTTTTTGCTACATTTTCCACGAATGTCGTTTCATGATGAAATTTTGTAAGTTATCAAAATATTTGTCAATGTTTCACACAATTGTTTTTTTACCTTTTGTTATTTTACTGTTCATCCAAGCTCACATGAGCTCATAATTAGAACAACACTTTCATATTTTAGCTATTAAATATTCACTACAACGCTACAACATATTCAGTAAAAACCACTTAGAATGAGTTGGTAGCTATCACAAAAATCAAACAACATATTCAATAATAAGTAATTTTTTTTACTTTATGGCATTTCGTCGTACAAGTTGGGTGCACTAGCCAGTGGAGTTAATTCAAGACAGGAGACAAGCTGGACAGCAAGGGATGGTGGTGGGAGGGAGGACGAGGCGGTGGTTAGTTCCAACAGCAGGACAACCCCTGCACGTCGAGAGCTCGACTCGGGTAGGTGGTGCGCCGATCATTGCCATGCCCACACACGTTCGGGGTTCGGGGTGTCTGACGGAGTGGCGGTGGGATGGCGTATCGTGTGGTGAGCTCAATGAGCTTCGGGGTGGACGCAGCGGACAGAGCTAAGGGGCGGGATGAGGCGGCAGGGTTCAGGGTGTCCGACGAAGTGGCGGCGGGATGGCGCATCGGCATGGCGAGCTCAATGATTGTCGGGGCGCCGTGGCGGACGACTCTAAGGGGGTGGATAGGGCGGCAGAGATTGAGGTGGCCGACGGAGGTGGTGGATAGGCCAGGGCGTGCATGCAGTATGGACGGCGAAGCCCCCCAGCCATCGCGCATGGTGTGCGGGGAGCGCACCTCGCATCGGCCTAGGTAGTAGTGGTGCACCCTAGCCGTCGATGTTGTAATTCCCGAGGAGAGGTTGATGCAAGGGGGCAGCGGCATGAAGATGGCCATGGAAGCAGGGCCGCTTGATGTCGGCGGTGTCGGGGTTTGGCTGGAGCTAGAGGATGGCGAGGGGATTGGGGCGCCCGGAGGAGAGCAGGCTCTGGGCGGGGAGGCGGACGCAGCTCTCCCGGAGCCGTCCCTCCGCGGCCGCGCTCCCCTTATCCTTGTGCATGGGCGAAACCGAGACCTTCTTATAGGGCGTGTTTGGTTGCAGTTTGCAACAGTAGTTACATTGCATGTTCATCTCCAGCCAGCCTGGTTGATGAAATGCAGCCTCATATGCAGCAGATGCAACCTGTTTGGTTGCCTGCATTGCATGGAGAGGCACTTACCCCCCTGCTCCTTGGTTGCCGTTTTTGTGCTTAGGGTGTAAGCAGATGCAAACGTCAGTTGTTTGGTTGCGAACAACATTTGTGTTCTACTCATCCCATTCAAATGTGGTGACCTTACCACCACACTTGATCAACACAATAGCAACAGCACAACAGCAAGATCAAACAAAGCAAGCAATGTAATGATAGCAAATTTAACACATTAAGCAAGGAAATGACAGCAAACTACTTAACTACATAGCATAAGTCTAGATTAACAGCAGGGCATCCTCCTTCCCTGCTCCGTGCCAGGGTGCTGCTCCTGGCCAAAATATGAACAAGTTCTCAGCACAAGTCTCGCCACACATCATAAAAGTTCTCCACTAACACCTTACTTAACTTAACTACATAGCCTGCTCGATGTCACCATGGCAGTTGTGCCTGCTGCAACGAAACCTGCACATGACCGAGGAGTCGTGGTTGTAGATCTGAACCTTCAGTCCGAGTCCTGAGATGCGCACAATGACGAGGTCACCGGGGACGATCCGGTGGCGGCGGCAGAAGTAGTTCCAGCCCGTCAAGCACCATGTGCCCCTCGAAGTTCTGGACCTGCACCCAGAACACGAACCGCTTGTTCGCCGATAGCCTGACCACGCGCGGGAGCCGTTTGATGACCAGCCAGGTGTTCATCACCTCCACGAACTTGGGAGGGACGACGAGCATGGCGAGGTCCTCGTTGTCCTTGATCTGCTGGTAGAAGCACAATGGCTCCTTGGCCCCATCCTCGTGGCCCTGCCTCGGAGATCGTCCCCTTGAACGAGGCACGCTCATGAAGGCGATCCTGCCAGGCAGGTCCACCGTCCTGAGCCACCTGTTCGTGGGGATGAAATCCTCGGCGCGCTCAGCTCCGGCCACCACTTGAGCTCCTCCTCCCGCCACATCCCAGTCAGTCTTCAATATCTTGTCGGTTAAGATGACAAGTACTAGTGCACAAACTCTTTGCAAAATGGCACTGATCAGAGACATTTGCCCAAGAGCAAATGCCACTAATCAGTGCACAAACTCTTTGAGAAGATGCCACTTATCAATGGCACTTTTTGTTAGGCAAATGGCACTGATCACTGATCAGTGGACTTGCCCAATAGTAAGTGCCATTGATAAGTGGCATTTTGCCCAACAGCAAGTGCCATTGATAAGTGGCATTTGCCTAGTTGTTGGGCAAATGACACTGATCAGTGGCATCTTCTTTGCTGCAACTGGCACTCATCACTGCACTATCCTAAACATGGAAACATTTAAAAATAGCAACGGCAAGTGCCAATAGCACCCATGTGCAGCCATGCAGATTTGGCACCATCCTAAAATGGTCATACTATATGCACGTATAACATCCAATTGGGCAAGTCCACTGATGGCACAAACCCTAGCTTCAACATGTATGTTAGCAACATGAAACATGAAAATGATCCTAACATGAACATGCCACCAGTCAACACGATTCTAGCATTCATCAGCCAACATGAACATGCCATCAGTATAACAGTCATCAGTGAACATGAACATGATTCTAGCATGAACACAGCTACTAGCATGTAGCACAAATCTTAGGACACACAAGCAGTAGCACAAGAAAATTATCCTAGCACACACACTGTACAAAACAAGAACAGATCAGTCCGATTGGATTAGATTGGGATCACATCCAATTGGATCTGCTAGAATCCTATCTAATCCACTAACTACTAGCACATGCCTAAGAAATTAACCCCTAGTCTACATCTTGGAGCAAGCATTGAGGGGGTTTGACTCACCGGAGCACGCGCAGCAGCGGCGAACCGAGGCCGGGGTGAAAACCCCGGCAGGAAGGAGAGAGGTGGCGGAGCACAGAAGGAGCTGGGCCTGGCGACGGCCTGCGGCATCGGCCCCGTGCTGAACGCCACGCCGGAGGTCGAGAAGAATGGCCCGCCGGCAAGAGAAAACCCTTGGACAGGGCTCAAGAAAACCCCCGTGCCCAATGCGGTCCCAAGAAGGGGCGGCTCCGTCGACGGCGCCGGCGCCGAGCCCAGGACCACGAGGTACGGAATCGGCGGCGGAGGAGGAGCAGCCGGCACCGCATTGGCCGGCGCTCGTGGTGGCCGGCAGGAGATGGGGGACGGCGCTCGCAGCGCCGACGCCAGGTCGCGGCCCTAGTTCTGGAGACTGGCTAGCTAGCGCTCCTGGATGCTGGCGATGCGCTGGTCCACGGGGGTCAGAGGCGCGGCGCGGCGTTGGGCGTGGCGGAGCCATCAGAGAAGAGGAGAGGGAGGGGCGGTGAGGGAGAGAGAGGGAGCGGTGGAACAATGCGTCTGGGCGGTGCCAGGAGAGTGAGAGACGAGTAATGAGACGTCGCCTCCGTCTCCCGCGCTGCCCGAGGCGTGCAACTGCCTCGCACGCGTGGCCGCACCCGGCCAGGCTCGCGAGAAATTGCCGATTCGGCAGATTCCGCCGGGCTAGGCTGCGGGCTGCTTTAAGGTCCGCGCGGCCCTCAAACCGCATGCAGCCCAGACAACCAAACAGGCGGCACACATTTCATGCGGGTCTAGTTGGGCTGCATGCGGGCAACCAAACACGCCCATAAAAACATGCGATGGACCGTTGGGGCTGTGGCAGAGCGGCGAGAGGCGGCCGAGCCGCTGAAGCCTTCGTGATAGAAGGGGAGAAGTCCCGAGCCAACATCCAATTATAAAAAGGAAAAATAAATAAAAGCATTTCCACCACGGGCTGCATGACTCGACAAATGAAAGCAAGGATGTGAGTCCGACACTGTTGCTGCCACGTATGCATTGGAAGGACATGGTGGCTGGCCAGCGATCATGCACATGCATCAGCACCCCACGTCCCCACAAGCAATTACGGAGTATATAATAATACAAAGCAAGGTCTTGGCATCCTATGCAACAGCGTGGGCTC